GGGTTTTCAAGTGGGAATTTCATATTTAGAGAGTCAATTAATCAGTGTTAGAATATTAAAAATGATTTCTAAGTTACTGAAATCGATTAGGGTTTGTGAGTTTTTAGTTGGCGCATATATTTTGATCCTAGTGTTAAAATTGTAATTAATTAAGAAAGTGAAGGACCTCAATGAAATAATTTAAAAGTAACGGACTTTTAAGAAAGTAAAATTTTCAGGGCCCTCACAGTAAACATTCATATCACGGAACATTTACACTGTAAATGTGAATATTATTAGGGGTATTTTGGTAACTATCTCACTTGTAAGACTTATTGAAATATAAGAAAATAATGTAGATTAAATGGAATATAAGTAGGCGAAAAGAGATTTATGAAAAAAATGCCCCTATTATTAAACTTATACACTTTATTTATTTATTTTTTGTTAATCAGTAAGATATAATATTACAATTATCATGAAATTTATGTCAAAGGGACAGTCCCCCCTGATTCACACTTTTTGACCAATCAGCCCATTTAACCAAGTGTATCCTTCTCCTTACTTCAGACCCCCCAAAGGAATGAAAGCTGCAACCTGTCAATCACTTTAGCTATCCCTTGAGGCAATCTAAACAAGGATAAATAATATACCAGCAATAATGCAGTTATAGATTTGATTAAAGTTAGCCTCCCAACATAGGATAAAAGCTTTCTTTTCCAGCTAGCTAGTCTAGTACGAATCTTGTCCAACACTAGTTTCCAAGTTTGCTTTCTATTAGGATTAGCCCCAAGAGGCAGACCTAAGTATTGTATGGACAGCGTCTTGATCTTGCAGTTCAAAGAAAACAACTAAATTCTATTAATCCAATAATAGGGACAAACAAACGATAAAATTTACAATTAATAAGTTCAACATGATCAGCTCAACTAATAAAAACAAATAACCAACTAAACAAATTTCATAATGAAAAATAAATTATCAATTGATTCAATTTTTTCTTTGACATGTTAGCCCAGAGTATATAAAAATGAGGAAAAGATTATAATAAAATATTTTTAAAATTTTAAAAATATAAAGAATTATATATATGTGATTTAAGGAGGAATAATATTATAATTTTTTTAGAAATAAATAATATATAATCTTTATAGATAGGTGTAGTAGTCCAATTATCAAAACTTCAGAGGGGGCACGTGACCCCCTGATCCTTAGCTGGCTTCATCACTGCCTAAGATTACCCAAAACTCTATGAGAAAACTTTATATATAGATATAGATTGTATATAGTATATACATATATACGAATTGTTTAATATGTTAAGATTGAGTTTTTTGTTTTGGTTTACAAAAATTGCAGATTTTGTCACTTGTATTGCAATGGCAGGGGATTTCGTAGAGAGGCGAGGGCAACGGTTAAGAGGAGGTAGACGGTGGCTGGTAGGTAAGGGAGGGTGGCTGGGGAGAGAGGGGAAGATGGAAGCAATGTATGGGAGACGGGGAAGAGAGAAGTGGTGTTTGGGTGGTGGAGTGAGATGATGAGGTGGCTACTAATTGTGGATGTGGTTTTTTTTTTTTTTTTTTTTTGGGGGGGGGGGAGGGGGGGAGAAGATGAAGATTGGGTGATTTTGGGTCCGTTTGGCAAGGAATGTTGGGGCTAAAATAGTCACAAAAGACAAAATAAGCTATTTTAGCCACAACAGACAAAACATCGCATCCAACCCATAATCATTACACTCTTCTCTCACAAAAAAAGTCAAAAAATCAAAAAATCATTCCCAAACCAAGCTTTTTAGCTTAGGCTAAAATAGCAAAAAAAACCAAAAAGCCAAAAGGTTGATTTTAGTTAATTTTTTGTGCTCCCAACTTTCACAAAAGGCGTGTGTACTATAATTTCTATTAGTTTTGACATAAAATATAGCTAGAGCAATTTAGTCGAAAACCATATGGGGGCAAGTAGCTATTTTTAAAAGACAGAGGATAAAGTGCTATATGGCCATACCACAAGGAGGTAAATGAATTTTACCCAAATTTTTAAAAATTGTTTAGCTCAAAATGAAAATAATGGATCTTGAGTTATATGGTTTATGGTTTAGGATTTAGGTGACAAAGAATAATCTACTTAGTGTGTGTTGCTATTTATCACACTACAACATATAAAAGTTTTATAGATTAAATTTTTTGGTATCTAAAAGTAAAAATATTGTTGAAAAAGATATTTAGAAATTAATTTCTATCATCGTGAGAATAATCATTAAAAGATCATTCTGAAAAGTAAAAAACAAGGCTTTTAGCGACAAAATTTTGAAAATATCATTAATAAATACACTTTTAGGGACAAAATAATTTGATCATAGAATGATTTATTTTTTGAGACAAAAAATTTGGTCCTAAAAAGATAATAATTCATCACTAATATCCAATTTTTATTGCTACAAATATAATAACGATACTTTTCGCAATAAAAATATTTGGTCTCTAAAAAGTAATTTCATCCTTAAATTTTGATTTCTAAAATCTTAATTTTTTTTTTTTTTTTTTTGTAGTGTCATTAATTAAAGTAGCACGTAAATAATGTTCACTGATACTATAAAAGTATCTAATAATTTTTAGTGTTGTTTTGACTACTAATGACTTGATAACATTTGTTGTGGACTTGCAAAATTTTGTTGGTTTTGCTAATAACTAGAACATGTGGGTAAGAATCCCAAGCTTGAGTAACCCTCAGTTTTTCATTTGGAAGGAAAGCGAAAGAAAAATGGGGAATATAAAAAAAAAAAAATAGAGAATGAAAAAATAATTACAAAATAATGAAAGTACAAGTTATTTATGCATTCAATTATGTAAATAAATCTTGTACATTCATTAGGTGAAAAAGAAAAAATAAAAATAAAAATCTCACTCGTTTTTTAAATTCTCCCAAGACAAATCTTATTCAGAATTGAAAGTTTCAAACTATATAACTGGAAGCTAGGATCATTATAGGTTGCTGGCAGTGGTTGTTGCTGGCAGTGGTCGTACACTCATTTGAATAATCCAAGTTAGCTGATCCACTCAAAGAAATATTTAAATCTTGCAAAAACAGTCTAGAATTAAAACAAAGACATCACATTTACATACTAAATTGCTAATCTAATGGTTAAGGACCCATCCACATGTAATGAAAGTGCTAAGAGATGATTACACAAAATCATAAAATTTACATTTTGTAGAATGAAAGCAAATAGAACCATATATATATATATATATGAATGATGATATGGATGAATTAATAACATTTGTGTGGCCAAAAAAAAAAAGAAGAAGAAGAAAAGAACAAATAACATTAACTTCTAATTAATATCCATTTTCCCCTGACATACACAACTATGTAAAAAAAAAAAAAAAAAAATGAACTAGTTTTTGTTACTTACCGAAAAATTGCTAATATTTCTTATATGTCCGTGATCATTAAAAAAAAATAAAAACTAAGAATAAAAAGCTAGTTTGAGGGTGAAATATTTATGTAAAAATAATATTTCTCACTTAAATAAATATTCTAGGGAAGCAAAAAAAACTGGTGACCACATCTACTACTAAAAGAATACTAGGTCTATATATTGAACTTGAAAGAAGTTAAGAAACAAAAAGCCATAAGGTCTGGAGTAGAAATAATTTTAAATGTATATATATTTTTTTACACAAAGTGATACAGCAAAGTATATTTTATAATTTTTATTATAAATTGCAATGGTAAATGATCACAGAAAACCTCATCATCCTCTATATGAATTCTATATAAAAGAATTATTTGTATATAACTACTCTACTAAATGGTATAGTACTCACTTGGCTCAAGATATCCCATCTCAGAAACCAAAAATTTATTACAAAAATGATAGATTAGATGGCGATAATTATTATGCGATATGTTCTTATTGCCCATAATGAAATTATTTGGTCGGAAAAACTTGCCTAGATCAATGGTTCTGAGATTAAGTGGTTACTCATGAACTAACCCAGAAAGGCAAAAAAGAAAAAGTTTGCCATAAGAGAGAGTGGGAGACTACTACATGTATTTATTTTATCTTTGTTGATAAGCAAAGAAAGACTTTTATTGATGAATCATATGTATACAAAGATACATACGAACATTAATAAAGAAAGAAGAGTGCTAGAGAGCATCATAACAGCCAAGCTCATCTCAACTAGATTGGCATGACCTGACCGACAATCATCTTTAAGCACCCACCCAAGGTTGAAGAGCAATCAACCAAAAAATAAATTAAAATAAAATAAATTAAAAAAAATACAAAAGGTAGAAACCATTAAGTACAATTAGCTTAAAAATTTATATGCTTTTCTTTGAAAAGAGTCGATAGAGTCTAATATTAAATCATAAGATCTACATTAAGGGAGAGAAAGCCTCAAATTATGCATTTCATTCTCTAAGATCTAGTAAAGAATATTTTTGTAAGATAGGGCTGGTAGGGCTGCTGTTGTGCCTCATCTAGTTTTTTTTTTTCATGGCAGTGCTGTAGTGCCTATTCTTTCTGCATTTTCTGGTTTTTTTACATTGTTTGCTTTGTGTGTTGGTCTTTCACCATCTAGGAGGTTGGAGCTTGTTATAGCTCCAAACTCCTCTTATTGATGTACTTATTTATATATTTCATCAATAAAGTCTTTTTTTAACCGATCAAAAAAAAAAAGAATATTTTTGTAAGATAAAAATACTAGGATAGTCTTACAATATTAGAAGATTAAAAAGTAAAAAATCCAATATTTTAGCCTCTCCACATGTATAATTTTATTGCAGTTGTTGTGAAACATATATTTATTCAAAACAAGTTTACTCCGTTGAAGCAAGTTGCCAAAAAAAAAAGTACTAATGATCATAGAGTTGTTCCCATAAAAAAAATAAAAATCTAAACCTCAAACCATTAACAAAAGTCATTAGTTCAACAAAGAAGATGATTTTTCACAAATTAAAAAAAAAAAAAAAAAAAAAAAAAAAAAAAAAAAAAAAAAAAAAAAAGAAGAAGAAGAAGAAGAAGAAGCAAGGCTAATAACAACAGAAGAATGAAGAAGAAAATCACTGATTGTACAAGACAGAGAGATGATGATGATCTAAGAGCACTCTAACCTTTCTGACCTAAAAACAGGTCAATAAGGAGGCATATTCGGCATATTCATGGGCAAATTGAAAAAGGGTAGCCCCGATGATGGGTCAGGAAATGGGTTACTAACTCCAGCACCAGTCCCACCAACGCCACTGCCACCACCACCACCGGAACTTTGCGGAATCTGAACCGTCTCATCTTCGTCCAACGGCAATCTCTCATACGCAACGTTCGTAAACGAAGATCCGATAACGATAACTGGTCCAGAAGCAATCAAAGCACCGACAACGTTCCCTCCAACGACCTGACCTTGTCCACCGGCCAAATATATTGTCAAGCTGGTGGCCCCTGGTGGGGCCGGCGGAGGCAAGAATGAACCCGAAAGTGACAGAATCTCGAAGCGGCCGTGCAGCGTGATGATTGCTCCGGCACCTGCCGGCTGCCGGAGCGTCACGTTGGTCACGGTGCCGCTTCCGCTGAGGACGCAAATTCCTCGCTGTCGCTTTCTGGCATAAGCGGCCACCGAGTCAAACACGTCTGAGCCACTGCTGACCTCTAATATGTGAGCTCGGAGAGTGTTGGCGCTTTCTCGGGTTATGATGACTGGTGGTTTAGGCTTGTTTTTGGAGCCTGGTGGTCGGCCTCTGGGCCGGCGAGCCACAAGATCGCCTGAACCGGTGCTGGGCTTGTTGTCATCATCATCGTTGTCGTTGTCGCCGGAAAACTGGTTTGGATTGTCGTGATGTTCGGAGTCTAAGGGACGTTGGAGGTGGAGGTCTGGCCTTTGGAGGTGATGAAGGAATCGAGAAGCTGAGCCTAAGTCTAAACCAGCCATATAGTCTAGATGAAGAAAAGATAAGAGCAGAAAACAAAGAAAAATAAAGTATGTTAACTATGTGAATTAAAAACTTATTTTTTTATGGATAATTAAAGGAGTAGGAGAGGTACAAGAAACAAGTATTCAAACCCTAGGGCGAATAGAAAAGAAAGGGAATCGAGTACAGAGAAAGGAATAAAGGGGTGAGGAAGGAGGAGAGAGAGAAAGTGGCGGACGCAGCCATTGTCACAACTAAAAAAATTTATATAAATATAAGGTAACAACTAAAAAAATTCACAATGCTTGGTTACTATTTTTTAAAAATACTTTTAATTTCCGAAACCTCAGGGGGGTATCTGTAATTTAACCAAACCTGGAGGGGTGTATATGTAATTTGCCCAAAAAATTTATATAAATATAAGGTAACAACTAAAAAAATTCACAATGCGTGGTTACTATTTTCTAAAAATATTTTTTAAAAAATTCTACCTTTTTATTTTTTATGTTTTTTTATTTTTACTGAATTTTTTTAATATTTTGAGCAATTTTTTTAATTTTTAGACATATCTAATGTAAATATACCTAAAATGTAAAAAAAAAAAAAATGAAAAAACCTTTTAAAAATTCACTAAATACAAAAAATACAAAAAAAAATATGAGAATTCAGTAAATTTTTTATATTTTTATATATTTATTAATTTTTCAAAATATTTTTTCACAAATTTTTTACTTTTTAGATACATCTAAGTAAGGTGCATCCAAAAACGTAAAAAAAATGTTTAAAATTTTAAAAATATTCACTAAAAACAAAAAAACACGAAAGCCAAAAAACTCAGTTTTTAAAAAATTTAATTCAAAAAACTCAAACCAAACACACTAATTATACGAGGGATACTCCCCTCTATATCTTATCTTTTATATTTTTTCATATTTTTTTTAAAAAAAAGTTTTAATTCGGACCAATATTAATGATCTGAACCACATATATCGTAATTCTAAATCCAAAAAAAATTACTTAGGAATTATCTAAAAACATCCATGTATTGTTCAGATTTATTTTATACATAGACTCCATAAAACATACTTTCTATCTCTACGACACATTTCATCCTTGCCCCAAATCAAGGATAGTAAGTTTGGATTTATAAGATAATTAGTGATGCGTTGTATTATATGTTAATGGAGAGGTCCATTACATTATTCAATGCTAAGTGTAATAATTAATTTTTTTAATTTAAATAATTATAAATTTGTATGCTTATCTCATAGGCATCAAATATGTAATTGAGATGGTTTATTATAAATATGTAATGGAAATTATCAAAGTCTATCAATCAAATCCTCTGACTATCATATGACATTGTTTATTTAGTATTCCAAAACAATTAGAAAAAAAATTTATCGATTCGACATGTTGATTAACATTTGTTTAGTAGTTGAGCCATAGAATTTTTCTTAGTGTCTATGCTGTGATTTCTTAGTTGTTAAGAGTACTACATAAATAATGTTACATGGTACTTGGCGAGTGTTTAATAACATTCAATAGATATAGGGAAAATTGGTAAAAAGTCCACACCTATGTGGCCATATGTCATTTGGTGTAAAGTTTAATATTTTTTTGGTGATAAAAACATATTTAATGAAATTATTTGGTGAAAATGACAAATTATTGTTTAAAAATAATTTTTTTCTAATTTTGCCTCACCATCACTAAATCATTGCTGGCTAGTTGCTGGAAAGTTTGTCGTCATTGAAAAGTTCGTCGAAAAAGTCACCTGAGGTGGCTTGGGATGATAGTAGGTGGTAGCTACTGGCGGCAATAGTGGCGATAGTAATATAGACAAATAGATAGATTAGGTTGCTAAATAGGTGAAACATGAACAAGTAAGGTGTAGGATCTCCTAGGGGGTATCCAAGCGTGCTTGATAGTTTGGACTCCTGATGGATCTTTGTTTTTCACGAGTACAATGTGAAATAGAAAATGATAGTTTAGATCTGACAAATCTATAAAAAATTCGGTAAGTGCAAAATATGCCAAAAATTGACTGCATTGCTAAATCTCAAAGTCGTTATCTAATCTTTGGAAAAATTAGAAAACCCATGACTTGTGTCAAAGGCCACTATCCATCAGAACCAAAGTGTCTCGATTTGGGAACTTAAGTATTAGGGGGGAAGGTCATGAATTGAGCATCCCCGCTTATCCAATCAAAAGATCGGTCCCTACTAAATCACGATATGAGATTTATAGACAATACATGCTCATGTTCCTTTTATTATTAATGCTAAAATTATTATGTAAAGCAAGCAACTATAAACTATGTCACTTACTTTCGAATGGTTTGATCTCATGTATTTTGAAAGAGTTTTTGAAAGATGTGCAACTCAAAGAAAACAAAAATTAATTCACACGCATAAAAATCAATATCATTCTAATTTAAGCGAAACAACTTCTATCCACTGGCAATCATAGAGATAGATCAATTAAGCAAATAGTCGTATGAAAAAATGCTAAACATAATAAGAAAATCATGTACAAGCGAAATGCTAAAGTTATAAATGCTCATGTAATTTACTCGCACCTATCAAAAAGATGGAAAAGAGCTTATGAAATATGCATGATTCTATATGTAAAATATTAATACAATACATACACGAGAATGCAACAGTAGATTCAGTCACTATGCATGACATGTGAGTCATTTCAAAGCATGAGGTAGTATGCAAAAAATCATATAAGAAATGATAGAGTCCATAAATGCAAATGAGTCGAATCCAAATGTGTGAAAAATGGATGTAAGCATGAGGATAATGATAAAGAAAACATGATTCTATAAATAGGTATGAAAGATGTGGAAAAAACAAAAACAAAAAAAAAATTGAGGGGAAGGGGGGGCTAGAAAGGAATGAAGTTTGAAAGATATACAAGGAAAGGGATACAAAGAAATGAAAGTTAGAAGACAAACATCGAACCTTTACAAAATGGAACCTCTCAACAAGAGTGTTCGAATAAACTATGTAACGAAATAAAGCTCCAATGAATTATTACATTGTTGAATATAATAAATAATAAAAATATGAGAATCTGATCTAAAATAAAAAAGAAAAAAGATGACAGAAACTGCACATGCGCAAGAAACCATTATTGGGAAACTACTCTGCTTGTTGCAAGGGATGTAAAAGTAGCCCGAAGCTCATGGACGGCCCGAAACTTGCTTACAGCCCGAGGTGGGCCTAGCCCGATTAGGACTGGGCATGAGCCCAACCCGAGATCCTAGGCCTGGGTCTTTGTGTAGACACCCCATTTTTGACCGCCCTCAAGACTTGGACGTCACCGCTTGAACACTCGGTGATCATCTATGTTTGTGTTCGTCTTGAGTTCCCGGAGGTCTCGGCTGCGCGCCTTGCCTCAGGATCTCTCGACTCGACTGTTTTGTGTCTGGTTTTGCACCAAACACTTGTGCTTTGCCTTGGAGGGACAGGGAATGGCTTGTGGGCCATCCCCACACTCCACCGGCCATGGCTTGAAGCCACCGGCTGTATTTTGTTGCCACTGGCCAAATGCTTGGCCGGCCGGCACTATAGATGGCCGGCTGGCTATCTTTTTTTGGTCAATTGCATTTTTGGCCGGTCGACTACTGTGCATCTGCTTTTGCAGATATTTTTGTGCAGCTGGCATACACTGTCACCCCTCCATACACGTGTATGGAGGGATTGCCCTCTTGTTAGCTTCCTTTGGAAGCTTTACAAGACTAATTGCCTATAAAAGAGAACCTCTTCTCTCTTGTTCAAGGGGTTAGATAACTTAGACAACATTTTCAGAGCTTGAGCTTTAGGGTTAGGGTTTACATATATCCTCTATCTCTATATCTCTCTCTCTTGTGTATAGTGTGTGTTTAGTCTCATTTTTGTGCACAAACACCCACCATCACACCTTTTCTTAGTTGCTGAGGTACCAGAGGTCTTTCCTTGAAGCTTTTGGACTGGTTTGGAACCAAAAGAGCTGACACAAGCCATTTGTGCAAGCATCAAAGGCCCTTTTTACCCCATTTTTGCAAAGTTTTTTGCCTATCTTGCAACTGTTTTTGAGCTTAGCATATAATATATAAAAGTTCTGTTTTTGAGTGCTCTAAATAGTTTGTTGAGGGTGCTTTACGCTTTGGGGTTGTTTGACCCCTCTTAAGGTTTGTTTGGCCTTTGTTTTGTGCCATTTTGGTTGAGCTTCGGGACCATTGTGTTTGGGCCTCCTCACCACTGAAATCTTAAGGGATTTCAGTGGTGAGGATGGTGCCTTGAGGTCCTAGGAAGGAGAGGGCCACCCCCTCTCCTTGTTGTCCTTGAAAAGGGCTATTTTTGCCTCTTGAGGGAGCATCTAGTTTAAGTGTGTGTTGACCATGCCTTGATTGATATTTATGCTTATTTTGCCATGAAATAGCATTGTGTTGAGTTGGTTTGGACACACCTTGCATGCTTTGCATACATGTCTTGTAATGCCATCATTTAGCCTTAACATGCATCTAGGCTTTGACCCTTGTTCAAGCATGTTATAGGCCCTACTTTGTGCAGCTTTTGTACTTGTTTTTCCATGCTTAAGGTCTGCCTTTAGTTGTTTTGGTCGACCATGGCATGCATTGCATAGCCCCTTTACATTGTTTAGCTTGTAGGCTTTAAATGTGTGAAGTGTTGAGCATGCATTGTTTGATTTATTTCAGTGGTTTGACACCACTTATAGCATCATTTCAGTCCTCATGACATGCTTGCATGCTTGCCTTTGTTGCCTCTTTGATGCCTTATGAGGTTGTGCCTTATGCTCCATGTTTGGTCGTTGTGCATGCCCTTGAATTTAAGTCATTTTAGATGCCATCTAAGTGGTCTTTAGGCTTTGTTTTAATATGCTAAAACTCTGTTTTTGGTCATTTAATTCATGCCATGTTTGGTTTTGCTAAGGGTAGTTCAATACCTCCTTAGCTTGCCTTGAGTTTTGGACCTCTAATTGCATGCTTATGCTTGTCTTGTTAGCTTGGTTTGGCACCATTTTAACATGATTTTCAGAGCTTATGTTGCATGTCATTAGTCCATGTTTTTGTGCTTACAAGTCGTCTTCATATGCTTAAGTGTTGGACCATATTTGCATGCATGTGTGTGTGTGTGTTGGACCTCACTTCCATAGTATTGGCCACTGATTTTGGTAAGCTTGCAAGCTACCCATGTTAGTTTAAGCCCACCCCTTTGCATGTTG